ACGCTGTCTGTCAAGTAAATAAAATCTTAAAAAAAAAAAAAAAGAATGGGTTCAAACTTAAACAACCATCAACTTAATAGACTGCTATATGCAGAAGAGATTATATACAAATCAAATGGCAAAACCACTAATAAATATGCAAAGAATAATAAGAAATCCAAATGTATTACTAAAGAAAATCAGCAAGCCATGAAAGAGAGAAAGACAAAAAAGGATCAGAGAAAATCCTCAGGAACCACAAAAAAATGAAAACACACTTGATGGAATGAACAGCAGGATGGAAGAAGCAGAGGAATGAATTAATGACCTAGAAGAGAGTAATGGAGAGTAATCAAGCTGAACAGGAGAAAAAAGGAATTATGCAAAATGAGGATAGACTTAGGGAACTCAGTGACTCCACCAGACATAACTAACATTCCTATTATAGGAGTCCCAGAAGAAGGAGAGAAAGGGGGGCAAAAAATTTATTTAAAGTAATAGTTGAAAACTTCCCTTATTTGGGGAAGGAAACATATTCAGAGATCCAGGGAACACAAAGAACTCCCATCAAAATCAACAAAAGCAGACCCACACCAAAACATACTGTAATTAAACTAGCAAAATAAAGTGATAAAGAAAAAATCTTAAAAGGTACAGGGGGCATCTGGCTGGTTCAGTCAGTAGAGTATGTGACTCTCAGTCTCAGTTTTGAGTTCAAGCCCCACATTCAGCATGGAGCCTACTTAAAAAAAAAAAAAAAAAAAAAAAGGTACAAGGGGAAAGGAAAAGTAGAATTAATCTTTACTTAAAGAGATTTCTCTCAAATAGCAGGGGGGATAAAGTACGCACAAAGTGCGACCTTCTCTTGACATTTGTCCAATGGCTTCAAACCTGTTAATAAATCATTAAGGTCATCTGCTCATCTGGTAGGAGTGTATTAGGCAGTTCAAGAAAAGCTGAGAAATCTTCAAGTATCTATTATGATAAACCTGCTAGGGAGTGAAGGCAAAGAAGTAAAGACTTTATAAACATAGACATGGGGCACCTGGGTGGCTCAGTTGTTTGGGCGACTGCCTTCGGCTCAGGTCATGATCCTGGAGTCCTGGGATCGAGTCCCACATCGGGCTCCCTGCTCAGCAGGGAGTCTGCTTCTCCCTCTGACCCTCTTCCCTCTCGTGCTCTCCATCTCTCATTCTCTCTCTCAAATAAATAAATAAAATCTTTAAAAAAAAAAAATAAACAGACATGAATACCTAGCTGGACTATAATTAGATAGAGCCAATTAAAACAATCTTGTAGATTTCTCTAGAAATATTCAGCAGGCAAATAACAAATACTAATGAGAAGGATTTGACCAAGAACAAGAGGATTAGGGATTCAAGAGTAATTAAGTACATATCAGATTCCCAAGAGATTTGAGCAGGAAAGGGATATAAGAGAAGATGAAAAACAGCAGGAACCAAAGATCAGTTATAAGGAAAACCAAGAAGTTCAGTGTAAGTGACGGAAGGAAAGTAAACCAAGAGTGTATAAGTGAGCCTCTCTATTTTAATTCTTATGAAGATGCTATATTGATTTATCATGAGTGCTAAAATTCCAAAACCTAGGGGTGCCTGCACGGCTGTTGGTTAAGCAACTGCCTTTGGTTGAGATCATGATCCCAGGGTCCTGGGATCGAGCCCCACATCAGGCTCCCTATTCAGCAGGGAGTCTGCTTCTCCCCCTCCCCCTGCTCATGCTCGCTCTCTCTCACTCACTCTCTTTCAAATAAATAAAATCTTTAAAGTTCCAAAACCTGCTTATCCTGATGACATCAATCAACTTATTAAGGCAACATTAGGCATAAAAAGCATATATTTCATGTACTATTTTAAAACAAAGAGAATAATAAATCTATCCATAATTATGAAGAAAGTAAATCTAACCTTGGTAAAAAGTTTAACCGGATCATATCCAGTTGATTTAGCCCATTCCTTAGTGGAAATACGTTTAATGTCACCATCTTCATTAGATGCTCTGGCTCTGGCTTCAGCTTCCATTGGTTCCCCTATAAAATGAACACCCTTTTATTCTCAGCTATAATAAATGTAGAACCAAGCTCTCATCTACCTTTGGGGGGAAAAAAAGAGTCATTCGTGGAAGTCATCTGCACATGATACATTCGGAGCTCAAAGAGAAAGAAAAATAATATGCTCATTATCATCTTTTCCTACCTCAGTTTCTTAAGGCCACATGTAGAACAGTTCAAAATATGGACCTGTAATCAGATCTGGAAACAACTCTGCTCTATTCACTACATTTGTGAAATTACTGCATCTTGTCTTCACCAGTAAATGGGACTACTCATTTTTTAAAACACTTGTAAAGATGAAATAATCCATCTTAAACATATAATATACTAACACAAAACAGCAATTATTTTTTTCTCCTCTTATGCTATCAATATTAAGATAGCAAAATAAAGGCAGTCCTCATTAAATAAGAGAACATATCCCAATCTACTCACAGGAAGCTTCAGGGTCAGCTCTGTCAGGGGATACTTCTTGATCAGCATCTTCTTCCCCAAACAACTGGCTATAATAAGAGTAATAAATATTTTTGTTCAACAAAATATTCTGAACAAATATTTACTTTTCCTACTTCCCCTCAAAACAACTAACTTAGAATATTCCAAATCTATAGGAGGAATGAGGAATAAACAATTGGAAGGCTAAATTTTAGTAAACCTATATTCATTCCTATCATCTAGGTTCTGCAAATTCCTATGTTAAAATCTTTGATCAAGACACAGGTGAGCGGCTTCTACATTTTACGTGGATACCATTCTAATGCCAGAATGATACTTGTGAAATACACCTGCAGCTAGCTATTAGAAAAACATTATTACACATATGCTACACTGGGCAATGATCTAGGTGTAAGAATAAGCAGTGCATAAGACGTTTTTGTCATGGTACTCTATCTCTTTACTACTAAAAGGCCTTCAGAAACAATATATTAAGCAGGAATTCTCCTCTGTTAATCCAGTTATCCTAAAAACTATTTAATAGCACTTACAGGAATATAATGTTCCACCTTTCCTCAAGTACTTGACTTACAAGAAAGCTATCTTTTCAAAGGAATCCTTTGCAGTTAAAAAAAAAAAAGGAAAAGCTATCTTCTCAAAGTTTCTCAAAACTCCTGATATACTCTACAAGAAAATGTCCACTTGTTTCCCAAAGTCACTGTACCAATTTTCACCCCCACAATGGCATGTAAGAGTTCCTATCGATTCACTTCCTCTCCAGACTTAACATTTTACTAAACTACTGAGTATAAAATAGTAGCTTGTGATTTTAATTTTCCCTGTTAGTCATGAAGTTAAACATATCTTCATTTGTTTACCACCTATGTGGGTTTCTCTTTAAGTGAAAAAATGCCTGTTCATATTATTTTGTCAGGTTGCCTATTTCTTGATTACAGGAATATATTCTAAGATCATAATTTTTAGTTGACTTTATGTTGCAAATATTTTCTCATGTCTTTTGACAAGAGATATTTACTTAATTTCAATGAATCAATCCTTTCTTTTACGGTTAGCACTTTGTACCTTAAGACATTGTTCCCTGAAGATTTTCCGCTATATTAGAAAGATTTTTTTAAGTTTTTTTTAATTATTTATTTGACAGAGAGAGAGACAGTGGGAGAGAGAACACAGCAGGGGGAGTCTGAGAGGGAGAAGCAGGCTTCCCACCGAGCAGAGAGCCCGACGCAGGGCTCAATCCCAGGACCCTGGGATCATGACCTGAGCCGAAGGCAGACGCCTAACCGACTGAGCCACCTAGGCGCCCCTAGAAAGATTTTTTCTGTTGACATCTAAATACTTAATCCATCTCGACTTAATTTTTATATATTCTTTAAAGTAGAGAATATAGTTTTTTCCACATTGATAATGAATTATCCTTTTATTTAATCCCTTCTTTCATCTGCGATCTCGTATGTAACCTTGGTCATGAGCTCTACATTGTCCCAGTGGTCTGTGTTTCTATCTCTGTACCAGCAACACACTGTAAGTTACTTTTAGCTTATATTAAACCTTGACATCTATTAGAACAAGTCACCTCAACCTACTCCTTTCCAGGAAGGTTTAAGTCTTATTCTACAAATTTTATAATCAGCTGAACAAGTTCCAGTACAAACCCTGATGAGATTTTGATTGGAACCGCATTTGAATCTATAGATCAACTTGAAGACAAATGACACACACACAATATTAAGACTTCCAATCCACAAATACATTCTTTCCTCTTATTTTATCCTTCTTTTTATGTTCCAATGGTTACTATAATTTTCCATATTGGGTCTTATAAATCAAGATTTGTAAGTACCTGAGAGTACTTCATGCTTTTAGATGCTTTATATTTAGGTATCTTTAATATTTAATTATACAATTTTATAGTGAGTTATCTATTCTTCTATTTTTTAACTGCGTGATGCTGCATATAGAAATGTAATCTTTTAGTTGGCCATGCTGCTAAACTGTCATTATTTCTAATAATTTGTCTATAGGTTCTTTGGAGCTTTTTATGCAGGTAACTATATTGTACGCAAACAACAGTTTTGTTTCTTTTTTTCTCATCTCTTCTCCTGTATTTCCTTTTTGTCTTATTGTATGGGCTAGGAACTTCATTACAACACCAAGTAGAAGCAGCAATAACGGGCATCCTCATGCCAGCTCTGATTTCAAAGGGGATGATTGATAACTTTTTTTTTTTTAAAGATTTTATTTATTTATTTGACAGAGAGAGACACAGCGAGAGAGGGAACACAAGCAGGGAGAGTGGGAGAGGGAGAAGCAGGCCTCCCGCGGAGTAGGGAGCCCGATGCGGGGCTCGATCCCAGGACCCCGGGATCATGACCTGAGCCGAAGGCAGACGCTTAACGACTGAGCCACCCAGGCACCCCATGATTTATAACTTTTATCATTAAAAATAATGCTTGTATTGGTGCGCCTGGGTGGCTCAGTTGGTTGGGTGTCTGCCTTCAGCTCGGGTCGTGATCCCGGGGTCCTGGGATCGAGCCCTGTGTCAGGCTCAGCGGAGGTCTGCTTCTCCCTCTGCCCCCACTCCCACTTGTGTGCACACTCTCTCTCAAATAAAACTTTTTTAAAAATTTAAAAAATAATGCTTATATTAAGTATATGGTTGGCAAATAGTGGAAGTTTCTGACTGTTGGAGTGGGACTGTACAGATAATCAAGGGGAGGAAGAAGCTAGAATGACCCCTGTAGTAATGGATTAGAGCTGGAGACAGTATGAATTCATATTTACCTTAATATACAGATATGTTTATAAATTTGTGTATATATACAGATTAGCATAGATATATATTTGCTCTGTTGGCTAAAAGGGCCTAAAAGATACGACAACTAATAGCATGCCAAGCATTCAGATCTTGGTTTCTAATGCCATTCTTCAAAAAAAGGAACCAGGGCTCCTTGGAGAAAGGTCTGATTCTACAGCAGGAAATAACAATAATGAGCCTGGAACATATAGTACTAGAAAGCAAGGAACTGCTCCCCAAACACCCCACTCACATTGATGGCAGTATGTCTAAGAGCACAGAGCTAACAGAAAGAGCTCCCAGTGGCCAAAGCTAGAACAATCTGAGCAACAAAATACACCACTGGACTTAACCCGAAGTATAAAATATATTCAATATGAATGCATACTGATATAAACGATGAATAAATCAATAGATGGGTGAGAAAAGACAAACCTTCTAGGCAGAAGAACTCTAATTTAATTTATGTAGATACCTCTGCCCTCAAGGAAACAGAACACAGCTCCCGTTCCTTAGGTGTGGGCTGCACATAGTGACTTCCCTCCAAAGTGTATGGTACAATAGCGAAGGGGAGGGTGGGGAGAGTAACTTTACAGTGGAGAAACCTGACAAACACTACCTTAGTTAAGTGATCAAGGCCAACATTAAGTTATAAATCATGTCAGTAACATATTTACTCTTCATACGATGTGATGAAAATGGCAATTTATCTACCTCTGTGATTTCCCTCCCAATAGCTCATAATAACAGTGTTAACATGAAAAAAAATTTCCCATAGTGGGGCATCCTACCTGACCAGCACTCTCAAAATTATCAGGTCATCAAAAAGGAGTAAAGTCTGAGAAACTATCACAGCCAAAGGAGGCCTAAAGAGACATGACAGACAACTAATGGTAACATGGTATCATGGAACAAAAAAGGGACACTGGGTAAAAACAAAGGACTTTATGAATAAACTATGGACTTAAGTTAAATAAGGTATCAATAGTGGTTCATTAATCACCGCATATGTATCATACTAACAATAATAGAGGGAACTCTGTATTTTTTTCTCATTATTTCTGTAAATTTGAAACTGTTCTATCAAGTAAAATCTGTTAAAAAGAAAAAAATGTTTGCCAAATAATGCTTAAAAGTATATTTTTTATGAAATTTATTATACCATTATATGTGTACTTTTCTGAGTGCATACACATTATTACCTTAATCAAAAAATAAAGAAAACTGGGCGCCTGGGTGGCTCAGTTGGTTAAGCAACTGCCTTCGGCTCAGGTCATGATCCTGGAGTCCCAGGATCGAGTCCCACATCGGGCTCCCTGCTCAGCGGGGAGTCTGCTTCTCCCTCTGACCCTCTTCCCTCTCGTGCTATCTCTCAAATAAATAAATAAAATCTTTAAAAAAAAAAGAAAGAAAGAAAACCAATGTTTGCTATAGGTTTGTAAAAGGTATCTTTTACCAGGTTGATAAAATGTTCTTATTTTATTAAGAATTTTTGGGATGGCTGGGTGGTGTAATCAGTTAGGCATCTGCCTTCAGCTTGGGTCGTGATCCCAGGGTACTGGGATCAAGTCCCACATCCGGCTCCTTGCTCTTCTCTCTCTCCCTGCCACTATCCCTGCTTGTGCTCTCTCTCCCCGACAAATAAATAAAATTTAAAAAAAAGAAGAAGAAGAAAAAGATTTGTCATGAGGGGTGCCTTCGTGGCTCAGTTGGTTAAGCGTCCAACTCTTGATTTCGGCTCAGGGTTGTAATCTCAGAGTCATGAGAATGAGCCTGTTGGACTCTGTGCACCATGGGGAATCTGCTTCTCTCCCACTCTCCCTCTGCCCCTCCCCATGCTCTCTCTCAAATAAAAAAATTAAAAAAAAAAAAAGTCTTGAAATTCTCCTTTTATTCTGTAATGGCCTTAAATGGTTTTGTTATCAAAGACATGATAGCCCCATAATGCAAACTGAGAAGTATTCAGGTTTTAAAAAATGTCTCTGGGGGAGCACCTGGGTGGCTCAAATGGTTGAGCGTCTGCCTCCTGCTCAGGTCATGGTCCCGGGGTCCTGGGATCGAGTCCCACATCAGGCTCCTGACTCAGTGGGGAGCCTGCTTCTCCCTCTCCCTCTGCCTCTCCCCCTGCTCATGTACTCTCTCTCTCTCTGTCCCAAATGAATAAATAAAATCTTTAAAAAAAAAATAAATAAATAAATAAAGTCTCTGGGACAATTTACTTAACATTATGATACGCTACTTGCAAGTTCAGGGGAAATCACCAGTAAATTCAGATAGTTTTGGTGCATTATTCAGAATTCAAACCACTTATTAAATTCCCCTAAGGTATAGTACTGTTTAGGCTTTCTTATTTCTTTTTCAGTCAGGTTTTTGTTTTTGTTTTTTTAAGTTTTTTCCCAAAATGAATTTATCCAGGAGCACCTGAGTGGCAGTCAGTTAAGGATCCCCCTCCTGGGTTTCGGTTCAGGTTGTGATTTCATGAGTCATGAGATGGAGCCCCTTATCTGGCTCCACACTCAGCGGGGAGTCTGCCTGAGATTCTCTCCTCTCCCTGTGCCCCTCCCCGGTGCTATCTCTCTAAACTAAAAAAAAAAAAAAAAAAAAAAAAAAAAAAACAACTTATCCAGATCATTAAAAATTTCTGTACACAGGCATGGTCTTTTTATTATCATCCTTTTGTTCTTTACTACCATTTAAACCTGTGCTAAGATTACATTCCCCATTTATTTACCTCCCCTTTTCATGATTGAACTCACAAAGTATTTTTTTCCTCTAACCTCAATTCCATCCTTCCCACTAATTTCCTTGGAGTTTCTCCTTTTTCTAATTTAAGTTGGGTCCTTAGCTCATTAATGTTCATCTTTCTTCATGTGTTTAAGCCTAGAACTTTTCTTCCAACTGCCACATTCAGTGCATCCAACTTTCACATGCAGTATTTTCATTATCATTACAAAGTATTTTTAACTTCCATGATTTCTTTTTTAACCAATGAATTACTTCTAAGTATGTTTTTATAATTCCAAATACACAGACTTCTATTTAGTTATATGCCTGTCTCCAGTATCAGGCTTCCTAAATAGTCCATGGTATATAACAGACACGCATGCAATGTTGGCTGAATTTAGCACAAGAAATAACAAGAAAGTTAACAAAGCGTCTCTTTGCCACATTTAAAAGACTATTCCTCATAAATACAACCTCTCTAAGATATAAAAATAAAAATGACCCCATTTCCCATCGTCAGTACTGAAAATACACCCAGAAATATATATACTCTTACTTGAACAAATACTTTGCCCAAACGATGCAATGAATAGGTTCGGAAGGGGTGTTACGAATTGTACAGCCAGGGAAAGTTCTCTGGGTAGGTTTGGGATGACATTCATAACACTCAGTTACACCCTGCGAAGTCAGAATATGAGAAAAGTATTTATCCCATGATGGTGGTTTCTCAACATCATGAAGTAATCATCATAAATATTCATTCATCTACATTCTAACTGGGTTTTATACTGTCAAGAAAATTTTAAAATATCAGTGACTCCAAAATCCTTACTTTACAAACAAGGAAATGTAACAAAAGTGAACTGAATCAATCACAGTCACAGCTAAGTCTAAGCCAGGATTCCTCTGACTCCTGGCCTAGTAAACACTTACAACAAGCCAAAAACAAAATAAAAAAAAAGCCACACTGCACCTGAATATCAAATACAAGTTTACCTTAATCACACTAAACAAAAGAAAAACTACTAGAAAGACAAACAACAGCTTTCTATAACCAATTATCTCTCAAAGGTGTGGACCTCAGTTAAATATTATTCATAGCCTTACCTTATAATCTCCTAAAAATTAAGAAAATTAAAAGTAATTAATAATTTTAAGAACCACCTAGATACACAGAAAAATCCTAGATATTACCAAACAAAATACTCTTCATTTTGTTGAGCTAGGGTTACATTTTAATTTGCAATGTAAGGAATCCTTGAGAGAAGTCTATGGCACCTAAGACAATCTTTCAAAACCATCAAATGAACATTCATTTCAGCAATTCTCAACCTCAGTATTAATACATACTAGTACCTTAGGATCAGGGTAACGAGCAATGTCTTTCTAATAATGGTTAAAGAACCCAAACCTGCAAATATTGTTTTAATATAAATAACAGCAGATCCAGGATTTTCTCCATAATACCATTTCTGGTGTCCTTTCAATAAACCTTCTTGGGGGCAGCCATATGACAAGCAGCCATCCCCCAAATCACAGTGCATAAGAGAACGACTGCTGTGACCTATAAACAGTCCCTGAAGGACTCCACTGATTTAACTAAATTTAATACACACTGATATTTACAAGTCTTTGCAAAAGGATACTAAATAAGCTTCCAAGAGTATTTATCAGCTAAAACAAAAGCAGCAGAGCCACAATTTCCAACATGGGTAAACCACCAAATAATGGATAAAAGTAGCCAATTTTAAGTGGTAATTCAAATTTTGGTTTCAAAACCTGCAAAATGACTCTTCAAACGTATCTATGTTTAATTTCCTAAAAGAACTAAAAGAAAAAAGATCACAATGCTGAATTTTATAAAACTGGGTTATGAGTCCACAGGTATTTATTTGCTCTATTATTCTCTAATTTTCTCTAAATGTCTGAAATATTTCACAAACACAACAAAAATTTTCAAAGTACTCTTCAGATCTTTGAAGTCCAGACTTTAGATAAAAAGTAACTTTGGAGAAGGCTCTTTTATCATACACCAACTATGGCATCACAGTTAGTTTCATAGCTACAAAGAATTTTAAAAGGCAAAGTCATTAAACTTACCAGTCTAATAATTTTAACATACAAGCTACAGAAGCAAAGTAGCACAGAGCTAAAAAAAATCTCTGCCTATATTCTTTGTATTACCTTTATAGTATCTAAGTTTTATCAGAGCACAAAAATCCCTACATCTTGGATGCTGACCAGCCCATATCATATAAATCTAAAGTTTACTTCTTCCCTCCTTAGGGTCCCAAATAAATATTTGGGAAGTAAAAACTTACTTTACCTTTTTGATGGTAGTTACTTGCCCAAGGTAACCAGCAGTTCCACTCTCAATAAGGGGAACATCAGCTGCCAGACACATCCTATTAACGTGGTTGCGGGCAGCTGGAAGAAAAATACTAGTTAGCAGGAGTTTATGGGGGGGAAAATCAGTTACTTTAATTAGGATAACATTTACCCAAACTATTTTTTTAATTTGTTATGTAATTTTCTTACAGCTATGACCAGAGTAATAAAACGGTTACACTTAAAGAGACATTCACTAGCAAAACTCCAAACATAAGGAATTTATATCACAAATTTACTCCAGGAAAAGCACACCTATAAATAATTTTTGGATTCTAAAGTGTCACCTTTCTCTTCTGTTGCTGTGCCTACTCTATTAATCTTGGCTAAAACACTGTTTCAGTGTGTTCTGAGTCCTTACTATTATTCTAATAAAATTATCAGGTAACACATGGAAATGAATGGAGAATGGAGAATATCCACTTGGAACTATTAAGGGAGTTTAAGGCAAGGGGAATAAAGAGGAGTCTAGTTAGAACTCATTCAGGGATGCCTGGGTAGCTCAGCCAGTTGAGTACCCAACTCTTGATTTCGGCTCAGGTGATGATCTCAGGGTCGCGGGATTAGGCTGTGTGTCGGGCTCCATGCTCAGCACAGGGTCAGCCTGAGATTCTCTTTCTCAGCTCCTCCGCCTTCACTCTCCGGCACACTCTTTTTCAAATAAAATCTTTAAAAAAAAAAAGTCTTTCTGACCCTTCCTCATGCTTTGTGTTTTTTCTTTGGTATTTCAGGCTCAAAATGGTTATAAACCACTCCACAAATGTTTTACATGTAGAACAATGACTGGCTATCTAACACCCGATTTTAAGAAACATTACCCCCTATTGTGGAAAGCTTAAATGGTCTAAAATGTGTACATCTAAACAGAATCCAGCCTGTTATCTTACAGCACCAACCTATACCTAAAATAATTAAAGATCCATGGCATCTATACTAACTTTGACATCCTCTTGCCCCAGTCTTAAAACAGTGGTTTTATAGCCCCGACTGCACTTTTAGAATCATGTGGGAAACTTGGAAAAAACATGCTCAGGCGCCATTCAGAGAGTCTGACTTAACTGGTCTTGAGATGTGAGATACAGACACTGATATTTCTTAGATCTTCATGTAAATGAAGGAAGTCACACTGTGCTTAAGTGATGGGATACTCTGAAACAAGCACACACCCACATACCATATGCAGTCACCCTCTTTAGCGATTTTAACAACTTCTATGTTCACACGTTTTGCTAGAACAGCAGAGTATGTGATAGCTAAATTCCTGCCTGAAACCAGTTCTAGTTAAAATTACAATCAACTGGCAAATTTTAAACCTAACCTTACTCCCCTCTAGATGTAACTCATAAGGAAATACTTTAAACACTAAAAGGCTGTGGAACAGCCTTGTTACGGGGGAAGGGAAATACTTAGGAATTAAATGTATTAAAATAATCTCACCTCTGTTATCTAAAGCATTCATAACCAATATAAATTGTCGAAAAAATTCCACATTATAGTCAGGGCTACAAAACAAAAAAACAAAAGTGTCACCAAAACAACTGGTCTTATACCAGATCTTTACAGCAGAATACAGGGTCCTAAAAAGCATACTAAAGTAACAGTGCAAAAATAACTGATATTAGGGGTATGTATCATATAACAGGTTTGACTTTTTCGAAACACCGTATCAGATTTCAAAGAAATAATTTCCCCTTAATCCCTGTGACTTGACATCCTTTTTGGTCAGCAATCTGGGGCCCAAGAGCACGATCTCAAACTGGCAGAAAGATGGCATGACTTCACCAGTCCCACCAGGCCTTCTCCGGGCAGCCTGGGAACATATAATGAACACATTCCCAGGATCTGCCTGGCCTCTGGCTTCACCTCACATGGTCAGGATCAGGCAAGGTTCAGGCCTCTAGGGTACCCGCTTTTAGCAGCACTGGGAAAGCAACACAGGGTAAGGGGGTTATGGAGCTATAGGAAGGTTTGCAGAGCAAACATCCAGAAATAGAAAAAAATTGGATACAGATTTCCTGAGAAAGTATAAGACTTTCTCTAATTCCAGACCTCAAACAACAAGTAATTATTTCTAATACCACTTACTTGTAAGTTAGACAACTATAAAGGATAATTTAGACCCAGGGTTCCTTTGTTCCAACACTTCCAAAATTACATATTTACTCTATCTTTACTGAGATCAGAGCATATTTATGTATGGTGAAAACTATGGCCCGGTCACAATTCCTAGCGTTATATTACAAAAGTCATAGTCCAAATAAACAAATTATTTTGGGAAGGAACCTTTTAAACTGAAAAAGACCAGAACTGAAATCAGTCAGAATGAGAGCAATATATTTAGAAGTCTGAATCATCACATCTAAGGATTTTTCATAGTTTAAGTGTATCTTTATTTAAAACAAAACTATAGGGCCATCTGGGTGGCTCAGTAGGTTAGGCGGCTGCCTTTCGCTCAGGTCATGATCCCGGGGTCCTGGGATCGAGCCCCACATCGGGCTCCCTACTCGGCAGGAAGCCTGCTTCTCCCTCTCCCACTCCCCCCTGCTTGTGTTCCCTCTCTCTGTCATATAAATAAATAAATCTTTAAAAAAAAAAACAAAAAACAAAACTATAAGGCCCTTTATGTTTCCATGTAACTTATTTATTTAAAGTATTAAAATATCTTACCTCTTATTTCCTCTTTTCTAACTCATTTAAATCATATATATAAACTGTTAATAAAACTCAACTTATGTGGGCACAAGCTACCACATTTTAATTTTTCTAGAAAAATCATTTTTTTCTAAGTTTTTAATTAAATTTCAGTTAATTAACATACAGTATAATATTAATTATGTAGTGATTCAAGACTTACATACAACACCTGGCGCTCATCACAAGTACCCTCCTTAATCCCCATCACATATTTTACCCACCCCCCCCCAACCTCCCCTCTGATAACCATGAGTCTGTTCTCTATAGTTAGGATAGAAAAATCATTTTTAAAAAGCAGAATGACTTCAAACTCCTGTATCTGGCTACTAAAAATACCTAATGCTTTCGAAGTTTAATTGACAACAAACACAATTTTGCAACATAATAATTAGAACATACTTCATGATGCTGTCATGGTAGGCTATGATATTAGCTTTTGGGTAAAACTGCAGTACACTTTCTTTGGCAACCTGGAAAAACAAACAACACTAAATTACTAATTTACTAAATAGCTACAACATTTCTCTCTGTATGTCAAGTTTATTTATGGCACACAACACTGCCATTTCACCTACTTACATATCCTATTTATATTAAAAACTAAAGAAATATAAAAATGTGACAAAATTTCATTAAGATTAAGCTATACACATATTTATAAAATAACAGGAGAGCTGGCCCCTTCCCTTATACACATCTACATGAATGGCAAGCTTCAACAAAAACATAAAATGCAGTAACTAAGTGTGATTTGTTCATGCATTCAACATTTACTATCTTCTGTGTGCCAGGATCTGCATGAAGCACTTGGTGAACCAACGTGACTATGATCAATGTAGATAAACAGAACTACAAGCTATGATAAATGATACTTAGAAAAAGTAGAAGCTATAGGGTGCCTGGCTGGCTCAGAACAGACTACTCTTGATCTCAGGGTTGTGAGTTTGAGCCCTGCGTTGGGTACAGAGATTACTTAAATAAGTAAAAAAATTTTAAAGAAGAAGTAGAAGTTGTTAGGAGAGGAAGGTCTGACTTAGTCTACGAGGTTTATTGAGAGTGTATCCCTAGAGAAGCAAGCCAAAATTTGAAAACTAAAAAGGAGAAAACAGTGGAAGTCTGCCAAAAAAGTTGGGAGAAAAGCAAAGTGAAAAGATGTTTTAAAACCCTGAATCAAGGGGCGCCTGGGTGGCTCAGTCATTCGGCGTCTGCCTTCAGTTCAGGTCATGATCCCAGGGTCATGGGACAGAGCCCCGCATCGGACTCCCTGCTCAGTGGGAAGCCTGCTTCTCCCTCTCCCACTCCCCCTGCTTGTGTTCCCTCTCTCGCTGTGTCTCTGTCAAATAAATAAATAAAATCTTAAATAAATAAATAAATAAATAATAAATAAAACCAACCCTGAATCAAGATGGAACACTCAAGGAACTAAAGAAAGGTCAAGGTGGCTAGAACCTCAGGGAAGGCCACCCTTTTAGAAAAAGTGCAACAAGAGCATAGGCTGTAGTTTCTCTTGCCCTCAAATATAGGAGCAGTCAACCTCTGGGGAACACTGGAATGATGTTCATCCTAAGCAAACAATCAGAAATTTAAATATGAAGGGGACACCATTTACTGGATTGGGTAGAGCACATCTACTTCCTCAGAAGACCAAAACAGGAGGGTGTAGTCCTTTACATCTTTATTCATCAAAATCTCTCAAGTAAAAAAAGGTGGCTTCCCCCATATTTTCCCTCCTACTGAAAAGTCCCAATTAATCTGATATCAGAAAGAGAAGATCCATCAAAGTGCAGAAATATTAATGAATAAATAGAAATAGTATATAAGAAAAATGTTACCTGGGCCTTTGATCTTCCAACATGTTTCTTTTGAAACAAAAACTGCCTGTTGAGGTTGCTGACATCGATAGTATCCAGATCAATCTACAAGTGCATAAACTCCAGATAAATCACAAATTTTCTGGTATGTTTGAGCAATATCACTATCCTCAGCATCCATAAACCAAAACTTTTGCTATTTGTTACATTAGCAGAGAAAATGCTTTTCATTTTCAACCAGTAATAGCAAAATTATTAAACTGGTAAAAATAATTTAACACATACGGGATTTAATTTGAGATAACTTTCTCAAAAATATTTTAGAAAGAACGCATCTTTTTGTTTGTTTAATCATTCTGGAAAGTATGTTTGGAAATTCCTTAGATGCCATAAAATTATATGTCTGTTGAAAATATATAATTCATTTATCTATCAATCTAATTAATTACTCTTTCAAATCCAGTATGTTAGATTTAACTGTGACTTCTTTTCTTAAATGACACTTGACAGAGTTATCGAATGTTTGCTGCTTTAGTTCAAGTCTTCATCTACACACAACTCCATTTACAATTATTATTAACCTAAGGGCTGTTAAAGGAAATGTCTACGGGTTAAAAATGTGTCACATTTTAAGTTTTATCTAATTGCTGCTTAAAAATAAACATAAGGGAAGAAAATAATGACTTAAAGACTTTCATTCCATTTCAATAAATTTATATGAAGAGTAATCAAACGTTCTAATTGTGAAACAGCTTAACAGTTTGGGTTATAATTTCTGAAAATCATTATATAACCACCTAAACATTTTCTATTTGTACTTTCCACATTTATTACAAAAATTAAATCAAATAGAAAAGAATCAGCATTTTTCAGGTGCCCAATCCATGGTCTCGTCTATTACAAAACGGTTCTTTTAAACATGCAGTAGTTACCAGCTAAAGCACAATCGTACCTGGATCTGCAGTACAGAACTGGATGGGAAGACTAACCTTTTAACAGCCAAAGAAAAAATGTGTAAATTCTTTTCCCCCCAGTCACTCATTTATTAGTTCAGTCTGCTACTTCTACTTTTTCCATTCCGTGCTTCCACCACACCTTAAGACAATTTAAACTCACATCCAAATTCCTAACATCCCCAATCTCTAAAAAGTTTAATAATTTAAAATTACAGCCACTCTACGTGAGTGCAAAAGTTAAAATCCTCACCAACATCTTTAACGACATAAGCGAGTGTGTCTACGGAGATAACAATGACAGTCACGCAGATTGTACCCACAACAGAGGAGCGCAAGTCCCAAAGGAGTCCTGCCAGTTGCTTCGTGACCCAAGTAAGTTACTAAAACCCCTCTAAATCTCACTTTTCTTCTCATCTGTTAAAAAAAAGTGGGATGAAAATGGCGTTTGCAACCTTACGGAGGTAGCGAAGATTAGATGCGTTAATGCAAGTTAACCGCTCAGAACTGCGCCGGGCTTGGGACAAGCGCTCAGTATGTATTGGCTCCTATTACCGCCACCCTCTGCTCTGGACCAGTATTTCTGAGTTAAGGGAGACCGCCAAAATGAAGTCACAACATCCACGAGACTCAAACAATCACCTCTGCCTCCCACTAAAGCTGGGGAACTGCTCTGAAGCGAAAAGACACGAGGCCGCTCCCACAGCCTAGAGCCGCCACAAATTGGCGCTGCCAGGGACGCGGGGGGCGGCCGCGCGGCGCGACGCCCGGAAGACCCCGGCCCGCGGCCTCTCTGGCGTCCCGAGCGGACCGGGCGTGCAGGGAGGCCCGCTCCAGCCCCGCCGAAGAGCGCCCTCTCCGCAGGCAGCCACGACCTCAGGGCTTCCAGGCCTGCTGCCGCCACCCCCGCCACCTCAACTCTGGTCCGGACCTCCGGAGCCCGAGCCCCCGGCCCCGGCAATACCGCCCGCCATTCAGCCCGCGCGCACGCCTGGCCCTCACCAGGTCGATGTGGGAGAAGCCGGTGAGCACGAGGTTCTTGAGGAGCTCGCAGCCGATGCCACCCGCGCCCACCACCAGCACCCGGCCCCCGGCCACGGCCTCGGCCAGCTCCCGGGGCAGTCCCCGCGACAGTGCCATGGCGGGACGACCACGAGCCGCGGCGGAGGCGGAGGCGCGAGAACTGAGCCGCGGCCGGAAGCAGGTGGGGGAAGGGCGGCCCAGCTTCCGTTCCTGCGCACTGCGGCCGCCAGTTGGCGCCGAGCGGGCGACGCCCGGGACCTGTGGAGTGAACTGCCTGGGCCCACGCTGGGCTTTGCGCGAAGGAGCTCTCACACCTCCCGCTGTACTCCAGCCGGCCGTGTTTTTCACGCGCAAGGAACCACTGTCTGGCTTTAGGAAACCTAAGGGCCACCTTTTAGCCTGGGGTTTGAACTCGCAGCCAAGGCTTACAGCTTAGAAAATAGATGCCCCTGTATGTAAAGAGCTCTTACAAATGAACAAGAAAACAGATACCACCCAAACAACAAATACAGGCCAAGGATGTGAACCGGCACTCACAAAGAAAATGAATATGATCAATAACATAAAATTTAAACAAAGAAATGTAAAATAGTACTTAAATCATTTTCACTTATGAAGCCAGCAAACAAAAAAGTGCAACATTCCGTGTGGTCAAGAGATGGGAAAACAAGCATTCCCGTAGCTATAAGTAAGGATTCTAAAGCAAAGCTTTTCTAGAGAGTGTTATAAGACACACTGAGGCATATCTAAAAAATTTTATTTGAGCAAAACTCGATTAGAATTGGGCAGCATTCAGTCTAGGAGATAGAAAAGCTCTGAGGAGCTGTACAAAATGAAAGACTTTCATGGCTAGAAGAGAGAAGGAGCAAGGAAATTATACAAAAGTGGGTTGGTTATTACAGGGTTACTTTAAGGGATTATCAGGTAGATTACCTTTTTAAGTTTTTAAATATTTAAGTAATCTCTACGCACAATGTGGGGCTCAAACTCACAACCCTTAGATCAAGAGTCGCACACTCATCAGACTGGGCCAGCCAGGCACCCCTGATCAGGCAATTCCTGATGGACTGGTTTAAAATTCCATTTCTGGGAGAACCCCAACTGTAAGTCTCTGCTTGGTGATGTGAGACTTAGCCTAAGCAACTCCATTTGGGGCTTGTCTTTTTTTTTTTAAACAAGGGTAATTTGGAAATATGATTCAAAAATCCTCACAATGTAACATTAAATAAAAGATACAAAACTATTGGGGCACCTGGGTGGCTCAGTCGGTTAAGCGACTGCCTTCGGCTCAGGTCATGGTCTCAGGGTCCTGGGATCGAGCCCCGCACTGAGCCCCACATCAGGTTCCCTGCTCTGCAGGAAGCCTGCTTCTCCCTTTCCCACTTCCCCTGCTTATGTTCCCTCTCTCGCTGTCTCTCTCTCTCTGTCAAATAAATAAATAGAAAATCTTAAAAAAAGATACAAAACTATTTGTAAGATTAAATTCTGTAAAAACAAAAATATATTAAAAAGCAGGAAGAAAACCACAGTTAATATTTTGTGTATCTGTGTGTGATGGAATTGTGGATAATTTTTCTTTCTTTTTTAGGCTTTTCTGTATTTCCAGATGCTCATGCTCCTCAAAGAAAATGCTAATTCTGAAATCAGAAAAAATTATCCCAAACACTAAAAGAAAGATAATTATGTAATGTGATCGAGGTGCTTGTAAAAAAGAAACAAAAGGCTAAAAATGGAGTCACTTGTGCTAAACCAAGGTTAATACCTAACCTAATTGCAGTTTCAGCCTTTCTCAGGAGTGGAATCTTAAACCAATCAGTCTGGAATTTCCTGGTCAGCACTAGTGATTTAATCTGCCTGATAAGACCCTTGTAAGGTTAGGTAACCTTGCCTGAAATAATCTACTCTTCTAACTTCCTGTCCCACCATCCTTCTGCCAATAAACACCTCCCATTTTGAACACCTCACAACTCCTTTCTACTTGCTAGATGGGATGCTGTCAGAATCATGAATCATTGAATAAAGCCAGTTAGATCTTCAAACTCAATCAGTTGAATTTTGTTTTTTAACATACTAAATATTGCTACAACAGCAATCATATTACAATATGTAAATGTATGAAGTTAACATATTGCACACTTTAAATTTACACAATATGTCAAATATATTCAGTAAGAAAAAAAAATTTTTTTTTTATTCATTCGAGACACAAAGATAGAGAGCATGAGCAGTGGGAGAAGCAGGCTCCCCGCTGAGCAGGGAGCCCGATGCAGGTCTCGATCCCAGGCCCCTGGGATCATGACCTGAGCCGAAGGCAGACGCTTAACCATCTGAGCCACCCAGGCGCCCCTCAGTAAGAAAAAATTCTTTAAAAAAAAAAGGTAAAGATAGAAAACAGAGGAAAATGCTTTTGACTTCTGTGGTCTTTCTCATCAGCTGCTTGGTTCACCAACCACACAACAAGCTGTCTAGTCTCTGAGGAATACTCAGGCTGCTGTCCTGAGGCAGGAGTGCAGGAAGTGCTGGAGTACTCCCTGGGGGGTGGGGAGGGAACCCCTGCACACAGCAGGCTGCTGATGTTCCTTCCCTACAGAGGGCTGACTTTTACAAAGACCCCATCCTGGCAGTTAAATTTAAAGGAGGCCCTTCCCAGGATGCTGATCTTACTTATCCCTCTGGACACTCACGGAATGGGAGCTACCTTCCTTGGCTTCTCTCCTGCCTCCTTTCTCTTCCCCTAGACCCGGCTGGGCTGTTACCTAATTCTGAGGGCCTTTGCTTCTCTTTGTGGATTTGGATTTGTGTGTGTGTTTGAGTATAAAGTGTAAAATGCTTGCCCACCTTAACAAATTCAAATAGGATACAAGTGCAGGAAGTGAAAGCTCCAAGTCCCACCCATACCTAATCCTACTCCTTGGGGCCCTTGATGGCCTTTGTCTTTCCTTTAAGTAATCTCTACTCCCAATATGAGGCTAGAACTCAAGACGCATGCATGCTCTTCTGACTGAGCCAGCCAGGTGCCCCTGCAGTTTTACATTTAAAGGGGTTCACACTGAACTTATTTTCTCATTATCCTGTTTCCCTGACAATATATAACAACCTTACCCTCGTTTGCTGTGCTTTGCCTGGTAACTTCCTATGACTGGTTCCATGCACCCCACATATCTTTATCTTCAGCTGAAGGTGGTATTTGAGGTAATAGCTTGGGACATTTCAAGGAGTTACTCAGTTTTTCTGGGTATCTCCCATCTATATAGGAGGTATACATAAACTTCTGTTTTTCACCTGTCAATCTGTCTCTTCTTATAGGGGGGCATCTCAGCTAAGTACCTAGAAGGGTAAAGAGAAAATTATTCTTCCTCCCCTACGTGCCTAAAGCCTCACTGACCAGCAAGTTCAGTTTGTACACAGCCAGCCACTTTCCCTCGGGTGCCCCAGGAGGCAGGATCAGGTGGTGTTCCCACCAGTCACACGCTGCCCAGAACGCCTCCTCATGATAATCTGGACCCTAATGTGTTATTTGCCAGGGTAGCAAATCAAACTGTTTATAGCAGTTTCCTCATCTATACAGGCAAAAAGCAAGTCTGTACACGGTTGGTGGGCGTGTTTTCATACTGCTGTCCAAGTGTAGCAGAATGGAAGGGGTTAACATAAAAACCAAAAGGAGAAAGGGGAGATTGGAAAAGTGACCACCTGGAAGAAAGGACAATGTCCAGAATAGAGAAGGGACCCCTTTGCTGTGATACTGCAGGGGCAAAAGGTGGGACGGGGTGAGGGTGGGGACCGTGAGTAGGGAGAACACGGGGCAGGTCTAAACAGCTAGGTGGCCCTAGCTAAATATCAGGGTGGGAGCCTCAAGAAGCCGGGGTGGGTCGAGTGGTTCGGTCAGCATCCAAGGACTGCAACAGAGCGCAGTGAAGTACGGAGGCAACAGAGGTGGGGTAAGAGGCCGACCGCTGCCCTTGGCTCTTCGGCCACTCTCCCTCCGACAAAGCCCTTTAGGTTGCTTGTGAAGAGAACACCCGCAATCTGGGCTGGAGAGGAGCCACATTCTTTTTTTTTTTTTAAAGATTTTATTTATTTATTTGAGAGAGAGAGAATGAGAGATAGAGAGCATGAGAGGGAAGAGGGTCAGAGGGAGAAGCAGACTCCCTGCCGAGCAGGAAGCCCGATGTGGGACTCGATCCCGGGACTCCAGGATCATGACCTGAGCCGAAGGCAGTCGCTTAACCAACTGAGCCACCCAGGCGCCCGAGGAGCCACATTCTGAGCTGTCTCTGTGGAGACAAGCAACTGGCCCTGGGAGGGTAGACCAGTCCACAGCCAGAAGCTTCTAAATCTCACCGCAGCCCCAGCACAGGTGCCAGAAAGCAAAAAGGACCGCACTTAAAACAAAGAGTGAATAATCTGTGAGTGAAAATGAAGTAAAAATACACAAATCTGGACATTAAAATTTGCTTTAATTTATATAAATAAAAGGAAATGCTCTACTTAAATAATGATTCATCTGGGTCTTCTTGTATGATACAAAGTTCTTCCATGGGAGTCTGATGATTTTGAGGCCAGCAACTCTTCTCACATGTATAAATCAGAATTGTTCCAAATTCTACAGAAAGACCTGAAAGACACAACATATTCAGGATTCTAACAAAGAGAAAATGTTAGGAGATATACTCACTACTTAAAGGTTTGCTTAGTGGATAGAGCCCAGACTCTGGAGCAAGACTACCTGAGTTTAAATCCCAGTTCTACCACCTGAGTAAGGGACTTCACCGCTCTGTAATAATGACCGCATTTATCATGATGATAAGACTGTTGTGAAGAGGGGCGCCTGGGTGACTCAGTCGGTTAGGCGTCTGCCTTCGGCTCAGGTCAGGATCCCAGGGTCCTGGGATCGAGCCCCACATCGGGCTCCTTGCTCAGCAGGGAGTCTGCTTCTCCCACTCCCTCTGTCCCTTGTCCCTACTTGTGCTTGTGTGCTCTCTCTTTCAAATAAATAAATAAAATCTTAAAAAAAAAAGATTGTTGTTAAGGAGGATTAAATAAACTAGTATATGTAAGATACTTAGAACAGAGCCTGGCATATCTTAAGTGCTCAATGTAAAACAAAGAGGTTAAGCAACGAGATGATAATAGAAGGAGAGTGATGATGCAATAT